CCTAGTAACGATGAATTCGTCGAGAAAATGGTAATATTTTATGAGAAATAGTCTGTATTTCTCATTTTTTAAATTCTTTTGCGTAAAACTAAAATTCATGCCAATATTTTTCCATGATTTATAATAATCGAAGTAATGCAAATGCATATTTTCTGAAAAAAGTCATTTTTAGTGAAATTTTGCCGGGAATGGGGCTTTAAGGCCTATGTTTTCTTTTAGCCTAAGCTTCTGAAAGAGGTAGTTAGCATAGCAGGTATGTGGGTCTGACTGGGCTTACGCTTTTAGCCTTTGATGTACTTTAAACTAATAAAAAGATAGGAATAATAATTGAGTCATTCTCACATATATTAATGATAAATATAGTTACATACTACTCTAACTAACTAGGCCTAGCCTATATAGCGGCAAAATGAACACTTCGTATACTGAGGTGCCTTACTTAGGCCCTAGCCTATGTGATTAAATCTTTATAATTGTATTTTATTTTTGTGGGTTTTATGCTTTTGTTTATTCATTCACTTTTATTTCAGATTGCATCCTTACATTATACACAAGCAATGGTGTTGATCCATGATTGAAAGTGTGGGTGTGGGAGGGGAATGAATGCGAAAAAGGGAGCCTTGAGATACATAATTTTTACACTATTAATAATAATAAAAATAAATAATAATAATTTTAATTGCATTAAGTAGCGTATATAGTGTTGTTCGCATCAGAGAGCCCTCTAGGCCTAGGCACTTCAATTCAACTATGGTGAAAACTACCCCTCTCAGACACCAGCTCAGTATTTTTTTATTCTACAGTAGGTTTTGGGGCCAGGATTTACAAAGTTTAATTGACTTAACTACAATCTCTTAAATATGGTTGAAAACAATTGTGCATTTCTTGAAAAAAGAATAAGTACAGTCGTATAATGTCATCTTTTATACAGGTAGTCCATTTTTTAATGGTAAATAAATAATTTATTTATTTTATGCAAATGATTGTTTTTTTTTTTAGGTGTCATTACAACCTGTGCAGATTTTGAATATGGGGGCAGAGGAGGAGAAGGCAGAGACGGCCCGTATGTCTTCATTCATTGGTGCAATTGCAATTGGTGACCTCATCAAGAGTACATTAGGTCCCAAAGGAATGGTAGGTTAAATATAGTATTTTTGGAAAATAATGTTTTTTAAATTTTAGAATGTGTATTATTTGACAGTTAAATATATATGTGTTTTTTTTTTAATTATAAGTTTGTCATATATGATTAATATTTTTGTTTAATACTGATCATATACATTGAATTAGTTTTTATAACTAATAAGTATCATATGGCTGGTCCTTATTGCTGTAATCCCCCAATATTCCACCCCCAGCCTGCCAAAGATTTTGATCTGGCCCGCGAAACGTTGCTAAAAGTAAATAATTTTCCAGCCGATTTTTCGAAAAAGTTTTTCTGTTTAGATCAATACCACAGAGGCACCCCTACTCTAACAATGTTTACAAGAGTGTGGCTTTTTCTGAGTGTAGCTCACTGTATCTAGTGGCGTAGGGTACTGGCACGGGGAGGGGTAAACTAAATGGGGACAGTGGATTAAGTGGGACACTGATATGATGTGATGTCTAACCATTTGCAGCACCAACAGGCTCAAGGCATGCTATTCTGTTGAAAACACTGCTTTAAAAACTTTTTGAGTCTGAAAGTGCAATTTCCAGAAGTGTAGAGGTATCTTTGTTAAAAATGTGCTCACCCCAGCCCTAACCACTGGTGAGTGGATATTTTTGAGTCTGAGAGTGACATTTTCGACCATCTAGAGGTGCCATAATCATAAATTTTCTTGCCTCACTCTCAACCATGGTAGGGCTGAGGTGGTATTTTCCCCTATCTGTGAAAGTTGTTCCCTAGCCGTTTTTTTTTACGAATTCAAAATTTATGTCGGTTTGCCGCTGGTCTCAACAAATCGGAACTGGCCCTCAGCTTAAAAAATTTGAATACCAGTGCTGTAATCATATTGTAGTTGCTGTATTGTTCACAATTGGCAGTATGTTTATAGCATTTTTTTGTATCACATTTTAAGCAATAATTGCTTTTGTTTCTATCTTTTCAAGAATTGTTTTGGTTATTATTGTGAATTTTTTTCCCAGGATAAAATTCTTCAACCAATGGATCCAAATAGTGCAATGACCGTCACCAATGATGGTGCAACCATCTTAAGGTCTATAGGTGTCGACAACCCTGCTGCAAAGATCTTGTGTGGTAAGATTCAAAGAACAAATGTTAAAGCTATTGTTATTGCTCCTATTATGAATAATGTAGTATACCATGTGTTTTATATCAAAATTAACAAAATGGTTGAAGGGCGAGGGGGGATACCACACAAGTAACAGTTAATGATAGCATTCCACTTACCCATTTTTTGCAGAGATAAGTAAAGTACAAGATGATGAAGTTGGAGATGGCACTACCTCAGTTACCGTTCTGGCTTGTGAACTTCTTCGGGTAATAATCACAAAACATTAATTTCTCATTGCTGTCAATTACATTAGCTGTTGGCCCTTGTGAGTCCTCATCTTAATCCAGATGTGTTTTAAGATAAAAGAACAGTAATGCAAAATGGTGTTTTTGTCATGCAGATGCTCCAGTCAGGGTTGAGTTACAGGGCACAACAACGAAACCCCAGAAGCTATGAATTTAGTGGCATTTAGATGTCTAATTTACAAAAATGTTTATTTGTCCAAAATAGTTGATGTTTTCCTTTACTTTATGTATTTTTCACCATAGTTGCCCATTCTCATATAGGTCTGGGCCTCAGGGCACTTGCCTAAGCTGTCCTGTCTCATTGTTGTATTATTCAGGGGTACAGGGTAATGTCTGCTACTCCATTTTTAAAGGGCTAATTTTAATAAAATAAATAAAATAGGTCAATTAAAGTAAAATAAAACAAAATTAACAAAACACTGGAAGCAAGTGTCTAAGTGGAATACAAAAATAGATACAGCAAAATATGTAATCGTTGATCAGAAATCATTTTAACTTTAAAGAAATTAAATCCAAAAAAAAAAAATATATATAAAATTAATTAAATATAATTAAAGAATTAAGATATTTAAACATAAAAATAGTAAGATAATTCTAATGTAAAACAAACTTATTTCCAATACTTTGTGAATTAAGAATTATTATGAAGGACAAATTGTTTAAAGCCCCATTCCCGGCAAAATTTCACTAAAAATTGACTTTTTTTAGAAAATATGCATTTGCATTACTCCAATTATTATAAATCA